CCCCCCCCCCCAGGCATAAGCCCCCCTCTAGTTTTCCTTGTTTTGATTTTGTTTTATCATCATGTTTTAATTAGCTTAATTAAAAACCAGTAGATGAAAAACCTATTTCGATCAACACAGCTATAACTCGTTTCAAAATGATTTTCTTATTCGGGTTTTTAGCCCCCTCGGATATAAGCCCCTCCTTTTCTTAGACCATCTAAAAGATGTAAGACCCTCTCCAAATCTCAAAATTTAAGACCCAAGATCCCCTTCGAATCTCAAAAATTAAAACCTAAGACTCCCTCTGAATCTCAAAAGCTAAGACTGAAGACACCCTCTGATTCTCAAAAACTAAGACCTACTTTGCTTTCGAAATCTCTGATATTTCCTGTTCGGACAGGTTAGACTCAGCTGTCACGTTATTTTATGAACATCAATCGGCTTAAATCTTAAAGCCTGTATCTGTGAGTATGAGTCTGAACGAAATAAACATGGCTGACCACAATTATTTTCAGTATGCCCAAGCTCAGAAGATTTGTCCACCACACAACCAAAACCAAGTGTCGAGAACATAGTGATTTTCTAGTCTGCTCAAGCTCTTGAAATTTTTGAACTCGCTTGGCACTTAGAAACAAACTCAGTTGAGTAGACTTCCCATCGAAAATCTAAAGATAAAATTGTTCACTTAATTTGCGTGGTAAAATAAACCTGAGAAATTTATGAAGTCACATTCAATTTTTGCAGGCCGTTTACCCACATAAAGCTTTTAAAATTAACACCTACTAATGCACGTAAAATAGTGTGTCTGTTCGCACCAAAACTTGTGCACATAACACTGCTGTGTTACATTTGATCCAGACTGACCTGTCACCTCTTTTCGTCTCCGATTATGTTGTTGTCGTTGTAAATAAATCATTGTCGTTGTTGTGAATGAAATGTTTATCATTTTGTCGTCCTCGAACCCTATTATATCGTCCTGAACAATGACAGAGTCCCATGTCTGGAAATATGAAAGATTCATTGATTGAACAGGAGACAGATCTTCGAAAGCAAACAGTTGTTGATTTTAGTCTCATATTAAAGCAAACTCAGGTCTTAGATTTTGAGTTTCGGAGGGGATCTTAGGCCTTAGCTTTTGAGATTCGGAAGGGGTCTTAGGTTTCAGTTTTCGAGATTCGGAGGGGGTCTTAGGTCTTAGATCTTAGATCTTAGGTCTTAGTTTTTCAGATACCCCATCTAAAAGCCATGACGAAGTTATAAGCCGAGGGCTTTACGGTAAATTGCTACATTATAAAACACAGACTCTACTGATTTTTATATCCCATGAGATGAAAAGAAGTGACGCTGTATTCTATATCTTAGCTAGACATGAAAAATGCAGTCTTATAGACTTTCTTACCTTTATAAACCAGCAACGGGGTCTTCGACTGAAATAACGGCCGACATAGGATGATTACACTAGACCCCAATCTCTCAACCGTGGATTTCAGTAGGATTTCAAGGTGGGGACATTGGTGGGGACTGGGTAGTATAGCTGGTTTTCACATGACGTCACCAAAATTCAAAGTACAAAACTATTGCTGGTTTTCAGTGTCACGCAATTCAAAATAAAAATCAAAACCGGTCAATGGATTAAGTCCAGAATCTGGGAAATGAAAGAAGGTAATTATGCAAAGACTCTCGCCAAAATTCTGGTCACAGCAATTTTTCTTGTGCGAGATATGCGGAG